TCACGGGACTATGTCGTGTGTATCACATTGCCACGAACTGTTCAACCACGATCCGCTGCACCATGTCGCCTCCTGGTGGCATCTCTATTGCATTCTGATCCTTGTGGGATGAACTCGAATTGTGATCCCTCCATGTGTGGCATCTGCCAATACATCGCAGGGCCTCTTCCACTTTCGATTTTGTTCGCTCCTTTGGCAATCGACCTTCATCCACCCACTCTTGGGTCACACCTAGATGAAGCACCGCTTAAGGACAGTCCGTCGCCTAGTAGCTCCCGAAGTCCATCGACTTTGCTGAAAATGGTGCACCATTGTCTGGATCCTGGGCCTCTGCCCCTACAAGCACAATCTCCGCTGCACATCGCTTCCTGCCTAGCAACTTGACTGGCAACACTGAGGCATATTCTTCAAGAGTACCCGCCTCGGCATCCTCTTGCCCCGTGCCAAGGCCTTCTGGACCCAACTTCGCCTCCGCAAATTGAGTCGCCTTAGGTCCTCAATCAAATGCTTCTCCGAGATAAGGTGTATGTGCCCAGAAGCTCCCTTTGTCTTTGGCGCCATGCAAGATGAGTCCGCTCCGTCAGAATGAAGGACCCATGGAACAACATGATCTTGCTCTTGCCTCTGCAAGAGTTCATGTCCTTGACCTCTATCGAAGGAAAGCATTGTGCCTTCGCTCCATGTTCCATCTTCTATGCTGGCTCCCTTCATGCGGCTTGGGTACTTCGCCAAGTTACACCCAAGTTGCTCCGCTCCCCGTTTTTGCATTGAGTTGATGGTGGCCCTCGCACCCATCATTCCACGGGTCAACCCTCCCTTGAGTGTGATCTCCATATCGACTCCAGGTGTGCCTTCATTTGTATTGTTTTGGGTCGCTCCCCCACTTGATCTCGCAATGCATCCACCGATGCATTCTCTTAAGCGAGATCATGCGACGACTCCTCGCCGCTCGCTCGGTCCGTTGAGTATCGTGGAGTTATTGTTTTTGAGGTACTACTCCAAAACATGTGCGGTCTGTTGCATATGATACTCCCTCTAGAGAGCCGGGACTTATCCCTCATGGATATCTATCCCATTGGAGCAACATCTCTCTTCGTTTCGAGTACCACCATCCCCTTGGACTACTTCGATTTGCTGAACAAATTGCGCATTGTTCTGCCTCCTGCAAACGCACTTGCTAGATTGCGACTCCACGTCAATACGGCCCCCACTACACCACTTAAGGCCTAGCAACATGCTGAACTCGCTGCACACTTCAGCCTCTTATGGACGTATCCTTCACATGCCGAAGAGAAAGTTTTAATGCTCCATGGCGCCGAGTTTCGATCGCCTTAGGATGGCCGCGAACATTCCATCGTCCGCATACAAGCCCATGCATGAGTACCGAATTCTTCGAGTTAGCAATTCTCCTCACCTCTGTGAGCTTTGCACAACTCTTTCGGTCGCTGAGCAACTCATTCCACCTTGCATGGTCTCATCCTTTACCAAGCTCCTCGCTTGCCTTGAGCACCATCAAGTATTGTTGTCAATGTCGAGCCGTAGTTCGAACTCAGCCATCTCAACCTTTGTGTGCTCCACATTCTTCCCAGCTTGCTTGTCCTCGTGGTGCCTCTTGCGCGAAGTGTTGGCCATTCCTCTGAATACCACTCTCAGATGCCCACTCCTCCGAGCGACTCCTTTTCCCTACATCTCCATACCCGTTTTCCCCCAAACGGTCGCGCGTGTGCTGACTGCCCTCAATGCAGCCCTACTAGGTCCCCCACGTTTGCATGGCAAGTGTTTCTATTAGTACTTGTCCCGCTCTGATACACCATCTGTCACGGACTTAGCTGGTTTTGCCTAAGTCGTGCGGCATCCTTGCATGTCCGTCCGCAAAGGTCAGCCTTCCCGAAGACTCCCATGGTCCCTTAGGACCTACAAAAGAAAAAACGGGTTAGAGAGAACGCCTCACTCGGGATCCACAGGCAAACATACCAGGAAACACTTCATAGATAATGCAAATTATAAACATACTTTACAAGCTCTGAACAGTTGCACAACAAAGGGTCAAAATGGTCCACTACATACTGAAAATCTTTCACAAGTGTTCACATGACACAACCTTTATTTACAAGCCTAAAGCGGCCACCAAACCCAACTAAAATAGGATTATTAAGCATTCGGCCGTCCCTCTACATGTTATGCAAAGCATGAACATACCAAAAGAGACGGACATACATAAGCATTACATCAAACATCCTGTTTGGAAGCTTGTCCATGACAATGTGGGATGAACTCGAATTGTGATCCCTCTATGTGTGGCCTCTGCCAATACATCGCAGGATCTCTTTCACCTTCGATTTTGTTCGTTCCTTTGGTAATCGACCTTCATCCGCTCTTGGGTCACTCTTAGATGAAGCACCACTCTAGGACAGTCCGTCGCTTAGTAGCTCCCGAAGTCCATCGACTTCGCTGAAAGTGGTGCACCATTGTCTGGATCCTGAGCCTCTGCCCTTACCAACACAATCTCCGCTGCGCACCGCTTCCTTCATGACAACTTGAATGGCAACATTGTGGCATATTCTTCAAAAGTACCCGCCTCCGCGTCCTCTTGCCCCGTGTCAAGGCCTTCTGAACTCAACTTCACCTTCGTAACTTGAGTCACCTTAGGTCCTCAATCAAATGCTTCTCCGAGATAAGGTGTATGTGCCCAGAAGCTCCCTTTGTCTTTGGCACCATGCAAGATGAGTCCGCTCCATTAGAATGAAGGACCCATGGAACAACATGATCCTGCTCTTGCCTCTGCAAGAGTTCATGCCCTTGACCTCTGTCCAAGGAAAGCTTTGTGCCTACGCTCCCTGTTCAATCTTCTATGTCGACTCACTTCATGCGGCTTGGGTACTTCGCCAAGTTACACCTAAGTTGCTCTACTCCTCGTTTTGCATTGAGTTGATGGTGGCCCTCGTGCCCACCATTCCACGGGTCAGCCCTCCCTTGAGTGTGATCTCCATATCGACTCCAGGTGTGCCTTCATTTGTATTGCTTTGGGTCGCTCCCCCACTTGATCTCGCAATGCATCCACCGATGCATTCTCTCAAGCGAGATCATGCGACGACTCCTCGCCGCTCGCTCGGTCCGTTGAGTATCGTGGAGTTGTTGTTTTTGAGGTACTACTCCAAAACATGTGCGGTCTGTTGCACATGATACTCCCTCTGGAGAGCCGGGACTTATCCCTCATGTATATCTATCCCGTTGGAGCAACATCTCTCTTCGTTTCGAGGACCACCATCCCCTTGGACTACTTCGATTTGCTGAACAAACTGCGCATTGTTCTGCCTCCTGCAAACGCACTTGCTAGATTGCGACTCCACGTCAATACGGCCCCCACTGCACCACTTAAGGCCTAGCAACATGCTGAACTCGTTGCACACTTCAGCCTCCTATGGACGTATCCTTCACATGCCGAAGAGAAAGTTTCAATGCTCCATGGCGCCGAGTTTCGATCGACTTAGGATGGTCGCGAACATTCCATCGTCCGCATACAAGCCCATGTATGAGTACCGAATTCTTCGAGTTAGTAATTCTCCTCACCTCTGTGAGCTTTGCACAACTCTTTCGGTCGCTAAGCAACTCATTCCACCTTGCATGGTCTCATCCTTTACCAAGCACCTCACTTGCCTTGAGCACCATCAAGTATTGTTGTCAATGTCGAGCCGTAGCTCGAACTCAGCCATCTCAACCTTTGTGCGCTCCGCATTCTTCCCAGCTTGTCCTCGTGGTGCCTCTTGCGCGAAGTGTTGGCCATTCCTCTGAATACCACTCTCAGATGCCCACTCCTCCGAGCGACTCCTTTTCCCTACATCTCCATACCCGGTTTCCCCCAAACGGTCGCGCGTGTGCTGACTGCCCTCAATGCAGCCCTACTAGGTCCCCCACGTTTGCATGCCAAGTGTTTCTATTAGTGCTTGTCCCGCTCTGATACCATCTATCACGGACTTATCTGGTTTTGCCTAAGTCGTGCGGCACCCTTGCGTGTCCGTCCGCAAAGGTCAGTCTCCCCAAAGCCTCCCATGGTCCCTTAGGACCTACAAAAGAGAAAACGGGATAGAGAAAACGCCTCACTCGGGATCCACAAGCAAACATCTCCGTAAACACTTCATAGACAATGCAAATTACAAACAGACTTTACAAGCTCTGAACAGTTGCACAATAAAGGGTCAAAATGGTCCACTACAGATCGAAAATCTCTCACAAGTGTTCACATAACACAACCTTTATTTACAAGCCTAAAACGGCCACCAAACCCAACTAAAATGGGACTATTAAGCCTTCGGCCGTCCCTCTACATGCTGTGCAAAGCATGAACATACCAAAAGATACGGACATACATAAGAATTACATCAAACATCCTATTTAGAAGTTTGTCTGTGACAGCTCGGTATACAGTATTGTACCGTACTGAGTGAATCTCGAAACTTCGGTACAATCAAAACTCAACCAGAAAGTTTGCCCAAGAAAAGCATCTGAGTTAACATGGAGATATAGCAAATTAAGTAATCCACTATAAAGCCAATTGGGCTTAATAGTAAGATAAATGCAATAAGAAAGTAATTTTCTTGCAATAGAGGTTGATATGGTGGAGTTTGAGAAAGCTAAACTTAGATGAAAACAGTCTTTGGAGGGTCATAAAAAACAGTCTGACTAATTAGGGTCAATCTACATAGCCCTACCCCTGCTATCAGAGTGATGGTTTGTTGCAACCAAATATTAGCCACATTGAAATGATTAACCTGCTTACTTTTAACCTAGAATACTAATTAAGGTGCAACACTTTGAGATTGTCTAGCACATGATTAGCCAACAAACCTTCACAGTTAATATAGGTGACAAACTATTCATGTCACTATTTGCTATATGTTCCTAGTCTTTATTTTTATTTTGTGAGTTTAAGTGTAGATTTATTGTATGAAAAAGAATCTGTTGTTTCTCAAATGATTCACTTCTCATGTTTGTTTTTTCAGAACCTCCTTATTGTAAAAGAGGTTGAGTTGCCAAATTATTATGGAGGCATTGGTTACCTTGGTTTTGAAAAACTTACATTTGTCCCAATACAGGTATGTAAACATATTTTGCTCTGAAATATATTATTGTTCATGAAGAATTTGCAATTGGTGGTTAAATTGCATCCATAATAATTATCTCATATTTTATGATTATATTGATTTCCTCAGCACACAGAATCTGGTGTCCTCAATTTTGCAATAGAATCTTTATTTCGTAGGTGGTAAAAAATATGGAGTATCCAATTTCAGTGAAAGATATAACAACTCTATTGATATTGTTAAATATTTGCAATATGTATTAGAAAGTTATACTATGTCAATCTTCTTGCAAGACATCAGTTAAGCAAATGACTAACGAAATACAACAAATTAGGAATTCAAATGACACATCAGGACTATTGTTCTTAGTCGTATCTGCAAATTTTTTAAAAAAGAAAACGAACTTAACAGAATGTGCCAAGGTATATGACAATGTGACTGGAATTTTGGGACGTGAAATTTCAACATGTGGCACGGATCTTGCCTTTAAGATTGTAAGGGCATGCATCAATGTATGGAACCATTAAACTTGTTGGCTTCAGTAGTTTCTGCTTGTAGAAGGCCTAATAAATTAGGCCTTCTGTCGTGAGAATATTAGTTAGATAATGTCAAAATCTTATTATGTTTTGTGGTTCTCTTAATGAGAGCTTTTAATTATGTTCTCTTATTATGTTTTGAAAGTTCCGATTGTTTTAACAATATATGTGAGCTTTTAAGTTGTTGAGATATGTATTGTTAATTGCCCAGAATGTTTAGCATGCATATTTTCTCTAATAGTAACTCTGCACTTGGCATGTGATATTAGGACAGACAAATGTGGATAGCACTAGTTTGATTGCTTAATATTTTGTATAATATCTCATCTGCAAGCACAATTAACTATATAGTTTGTGTACTTAAGTTACTTTGATCAATTACACATCTATTTGGTGCATACATGAACTTTACAGGACATTTTAGGACAGCTTAAGTATGACATGTTTTTAGGGAGAGAAGTGATTATATTAGATCCATGATATTCTCTCTTTTTCAAAGTTTGTGTAATTTTTTTTTTGTTTGGGATCAACCTTCTGGGAAATACTTGTCATAATAAGGACACATTAATTATTGTGTTTAATGGTCTTTTTTTGCTAGAATAAATTGGTTGACTTATCTTTGTTATCTCACGCGGAAATCAACTGGCTCAATGATTATCATGCACAAGTTTGGGAAAAGGTTAGTTACCTAAAGCATCTTAAAGCTAGCTTGACATATTTCCTTACTGTCCTATGATTGAATTGACAATTTAGTGTTTGAGAATTTTCTTTCAGCTAGTATATTTACTTGCATGGTTTTACCTAATGTTGCTTAAAGCTTGTGCAGAAAAGGAAATTTGTTATAATCTTTTCTGACTACCTTTACTTGATTGTGAGGTTGATCCATTACTTTCTAATGTTGGGTATCTTAGGTCCTCGGCAGTTGGGTTTGGTGGATTGTGTACGGTCAAGGGAAGATATAAGACAACAGTGATCTGATGGAATTTAAGTGGTAGGACAATTCAAGAGAAAGATGAAAAGGGGACAAAAAATAAATAAATCTTTTGCACTCGCTCAAAATCCTCATAGCTTACTTTGGGAGAAAGATTGTGGCCTCAACACCAGTGGTTGCAAAAGGCGCTCGGGCGCTCGCCTAGGCGCTCGGGCGAGGCGAGGTGAGGCCCGAGTGCCTCGCTAATGTCCCAGGCGGCGCGCTTCAAACAGGCGCCGCCTGGGCGCTCGCCCGAGCCCAGGCGCTGGGCGCTTCGGGCGAGCGCCTGGGTAAACCAAGGCGATCGAACTAGAATTTTAGGTCTGGTTCGGTCCTGGTTCGGTTGTTAGTTGGTTCAATCGAACCAACTAAATCGATATAACCTCAACCCTAACCCTAACCCTAACCCAACACTAACCTGCTACCGCTGCCGCTCTCGATCCCGATCCCGATCCCGATCGCGATCTCGTCGCTCGCTGCCGCCTGCTCCCGCTGCCGCTGCTCGCCGCTGTC